AAATTGATTGCTGCTTGAATATTGGCCCAATCAAGCTTCTCATTTCTAACAGAGGGGACGTACGTCGCAAGAGGATGACTTTGTAGTTGGTGCCAGGCTCCAGCAGCTCGACCTTCAGGCAGGTTTTGTTGCTGTAGAGGTCCACATCGATGCTGGTGTCGTTGAGTTTGCCCCTCAGGAAGGAGAAGACCACGTTCCACAGGCTGAACTTCTCCAGCTCCTCCTCGCTGTCCACCTGGGTGACGCGGAGCATGCGGTCGCTGGTGACGCGGATCTGGGGGAGAGAGAGGGGAATGGGGGTGGTGAGACTGGAGAAATGAGAGTGGGTTCCTGCCCCAGGGGCTGGTTCTGGCCCTGGGAGCTTAGTCTGTCCCAGGGATTCATGTTCCTGAAGGTGGTCCAGCCTCAAGGGGTGGTTCTGTCCCAGAGTTCCTGCCCCAGGAGCTGGTTCTGCCCTGGGAATTTGTGTGCCAGGAGTTGGTCCAGCCTCAGGAGCTGGTTTTGCTCCAGGAATTAATGTTCCTGAATCTAGTTGTGTCCTGGCAGCTTGGTCTGTCCCAGGGATTCATGTTCCTGAAGCTGGTTCTCCCCCAGGAGCTGGTTCTGCCCTGGGAGCTTGGTCTATTCTAGGAATTCCTGTCTCAGGAGCTGGTTCTGTCCAGGGTTCCTGTCCTGGGAACTGGTTCTGCCCCAGAGATTTCTGTACCAGGAGCTGGTCCAGCCTCAGGAACTGGTCCTGCCCCTGGGTTCCTGCTCCAGGAGCTGTTTCTGTCCTGGGAGCTTGGTCTGCCACAAGGATTCCTATCTTAGAAGTTGGTTCTGCCCCAGAGATTTATGTTCAGAGGTGACCTCATCACTCTCTATAGCTCCTGAAAGCTGCCTGTGCTCAGCTGGGGTTGGGCTCTTTCTGCAGGAACTGACAGAACCAGAGGACACATCTCAAGCTGTGCAAAGGGAAACTCAGGTTGGATATCAGGAAAAAGTTTTTCATGGAAAGAGTGATAAATTCTGGAATGTTCTGCACAGGGAGGTGGTGGAGTCACCATCCCTGGGTGCNCCACAGATCTGTGTCCCTAAGGACAGAGGTGACAGCCCAGAGGGACACAGGGTGGCCACCCCAAGCTCACTCTCAGGGGTGTCACCTTTTAGGGGACTGGATGCGGGACACCGTGGTCCAGGCAGAGAATTCGGGGCTCTTGCAGAAGCTCCTCAGCTCTGCCAGGGCCTTTCGGGTCTCCACCTCGCCCTGGAGCTGAAATTCCTCCTCCGTCAGCAGCCGAGGGGGAGTCGGGCCCAGCCTGGAGCTCTGCACCCTCCTGCCAGGGGGGAAACAGCAGTTAATGCCTGCCTGGGTGGGGTGGGAGCAGCTCCTGGGGCAGGACCCTGGGACAGAACCCTGGGACAGGAAACCTGAGGCAGCAACTCTCAGGACAGAACATCTCAGGACAGAACTCCTGGGGCAGGAACTCTCAGGTCAAAACCTCTGGGGCAGGACCCCAGGACAGAACCCCTGGGGCAGAAACTCTCAGGACAGAACATCTCAGGACAGAACTCCTGGGGCAGGAATCCTAGGGCAGGAAATCTCAGGACTAAATTCCTGGGACAGAAACTCCCAGGACAGAACCTCTGGGGCAGGAACTCTCAGGTCAGAACCCCCGAGTCAGAAACTCCCAGGTCAGAACCCCTGGGACAGGAAACCTGAGGCAGAAATTCTCAGGACAGAACCCCTGGAGCACGACCACCCTCCAGGGCAGGACCCCTGGGACAGGAACTCTCAGGACAGAACCTTTGGGACAGAAATTCACAAGACAGATCCCCTGGGGCAGGAACTCTCAGGTCAAAACCTCTGGGGTAGGAATTCTCAGGTCAAAACCCTTGGGACAGGAATTCTCAGGACAGAACCGTTGGGGCAGGACCCCAGGACAGAATCCCTGGGACAGGAACTCTCAAGTCAGAACCCCTGGGACAGGAATTCTCAGGTCAAAACCCTTGGGATAGGAATTCTCAGGACAGAACATCTGGGACAGAAACTCTCAGGACAGAACCCCTGAAACAGGAACCCTGGGGCAGGAACTCTCAGGTCAAAACCCTTGGGACAGGAATTCTCAGGTCAGAACCCCTGGGGCAGGAACTCTCAAGTCAGAACCCCTGGGGCAGGACCACCCTCCAGGGCAGGATTCCTGGAGCAGGAACTCTAAGGCAAGACCAGCAGCTGAGGCAGGATCACCTCCCAGGGCAAGAA